TTAGTCCATTCCCAACTTCCATCCTCTCTCCCAGTGCCCTCCCAGCATTCTCCATCCCCCTCTTAGTCCCTTCCCAATCCCTGTCAATGTTACCCGAGTCCCCGTCCCCCGCGCCCCCCGTGTCTCCCATTTTACCTGCATCTTATCCCAGTGTGTCCCCGCTCTCTCCCAGTGCCCCCCAGCGTGTCCATCTCGCTGGTGCCCTCGAGCTCCCAGCCCGGCCCCGGCCGCCTGCTCTGTTCCGTGGTGGATTTTTACCCTGCCCAAATCCAGGTGAGGTGGTTCCAGGGCCAGCAGGAGCTCTCTGTAGTGGCCACCGACATTTTTCCCAGCGGGGACTGGACCTACCAGCTCCTGGTGCTGCTGGAAACCACCCCCCGGCGTGGGCTTACCTACACCTGCCAGGTGGAGCACGGCAGCCTGGAGCACCCCCTGAGCCGGCACTGGGGTACAGCCCGGCCCCCACGAGGGAACAGGGAGTGGGACTGGGGGGACTGAGAGGGGAGTTGGTAGTAGCTGAGAGTAATTGGGAGGAAGTTTGAGGGAGGCAGGGGATAACTGGGAGAAGGGTTTGGATGGTCTGGGAGGGCAGAGAAGAGGTTTGGACAATACTGGGAAGACTGGGATGCAGTTAGGGGTTTCCTGGTGGCTACTGAGAGGAAACATCCTGGTGGTGCTGGATGTAACTAGAAGGGAGTCTGATGGAGCTGGAGGGTCTGGAAGCAGTTTGGGGATGTAAAAGTGGGGCTGGGATGGGAGTTGAGTGTGCTTCAATCTACTGGCAGTGATGTTGGTGAGTCCTGGTGGGACTGGGAAGGGACTGGGAAAAGGTTTGGGGGATCATTGGGAAATGGATGCCAACTGGGAGGGGGTTTAGGGTCCTGGAAGGACGGGGAGGGGTCTTGGGTGGTATTAGGGAGTTTGGATGGGGATAGGAAAGAGATCTCATGGAGTCTTGGGTGGGCTGGAGGGGTGTGAGGGTGTCTGGGGGCTTGGGCTTGTGAGAGGTTTTGGGGGTCCTGACCCCTGACCCCTCAGAGATGCCACCAGACACTGCCCGCAGCAAGATGTTGACAGGGATTGGGGGCTTCGTGTTGGGCTTCGTCTTCCTGGCGCTGGGGCTCGGCTTCTACCTGCACAAGAAGGTCAGGGGGGTCCCGGGGGTCGTGTCCCCCCTCCCCCAGAGCATGTGTTCTCCCCCTGGGGCCCCCAGCCCAGTGTCACCCCCTTTTCTCTGCCCACAGAGCTCCTGAGCCGCCGCCGGCCGCAGCCCCTCCCCGTGGCCTCGGGCCTGGCCAGGACCCCCCCGTTCTATCCCCACGCTGATTTTGGGGGGATCGTGTGCCCCTCGAGCCCTGCTGTCACTCTGCCCCGGATGGCTGCTCCCAGTGTTCCAAATAAAGCTTCCCAGTTCACACCAATCCCATTTACTGGCGAGCTGTGTGGAGAGATTTTGGGGGAGCCCACAGGGATACTGTGATGGGAAGGGGCAGAATGGGCCCCAGGGTGGATCAGGAATGGGGAGCCCTGTGAATCCTGTGTGTCACCCCACTCTGGGTGCTGGGAGCCCACCTCGGCTATGGGCGAGGAACTCTTGGGTGAGAGGGAGAGCAGCACAGGCAAGATGGGAAAGGTCATTGAGAGGGGTATAAGGGGAGGGGGGACAGTGGCAAAGGGGTTCCCCTGGAAGTCCCTTTGTGTCCCCATCACTGGATCTCTTGAGCTGTTCCCCGGAGTTCTGGGGGGGGATGGGGGGTGTAAGCAGAAACTTACTGGGTGGGTCCCAAACCCCCATCCCTCCCTGGGGGGCTCACAGTGGGGGTGACCCAACCCAGCAACCGGTGCTGTGGTGGCCGTGGGGCAGAGGGGGGTGGGAATGGGGGATCCAGTGTGGTCCCTTGAGCCCCCAGCTTGATGTGGGGTGCTGGCATCTGTTGGGGGATGAGAGGAGGCACCCCCTCACCTGCCTCCTTTCCCACACAGTGTGTTCCATTTTGGGGGAAAAGCCCACTGTCACTTCCTTGATGGCAACAACTGGGTGAAATTTGTGGACAAGGAACATCCACAACTGGGAGTAATTCGGGCTCAGGAGATACCCCAAAATTCTGAGGTGGGATTGAGTTGTTTTGAGGTGGAGTTGAGCCATTTTCAGTGGGATGGAGTTGTTTTGAGGCATCATCTATCCCTCCTGGCTTTTGGGGAGCAGAGCTGTTGGGGACTGAAATGTCCTGGCTTAAAGGCTCAAACCAGTGGCAAAAGCAGCGGGGGCTTTGCTGGCCACGGGCACAGGAAGTGCCCAGGGGCAGAGGGGGGGAAACACCCAACCCCGGAGGGGAGGGGATGAGCAGGGCTGGGAGCCAGGGAAGGGAAGAGCCCGATCAGAAAGAGATGCTGCCAGGTGGGACAGGGCTTTGGACCAGGCAATGCCCTCCCTTACACAACTGGCTCAGTTGTGGAAACTCCCCTGCAGAAGGCCCAGGACATTCACACAGAGGCCTGGAGGTTTTCATGTCTTTACACGGGCCATACCTGCCTCAGCTGTGCTGCTGTGAGAGGTGGGGCCACCTCTTAGAAGGGGCCATAAACCATCAGAGCCCCCCAGAGCACCCTGGGATCCACAGTGTGACATCAGACAGTGTAAAACTCCCTTCAGGGGAGGCACCTGGGCGTTCACCCAAACCTAAATCCGTACTGACCCACAGAAATTGGTGTTTCTGGAGCTTTCCCAACCCCCAAGCGATCCATCCTGGGACCATCACTTAGACCAAGGACAAGGACATGCAACAATCTATTTTTGTTGCTGGATCCCGGGCTGGTGCCTGTGTATCTTTCTACTCTTACTTTCTTTTCTCTTATAAGTTTTCCTAAGTGCTATTTTAATGCTAATATTATTGTTAATGCTAATGTTATTTTAATATTGCTAGAGATGGTAACCAAAAGGGTTCAAAACCTGCTTTACATGGTAAAGAAATTGTTCTAAAATAAACCCAACAGAGATATATTTATAAACATAGATCAATCACTGTTGTTTCACTTTAATCTATACCAGGGGATCCATGAACCAGAACCTGGATTACCCTTGCCTTCAGGAATGGATAGAACAGGAGCTGGAAATGGGGGAAGCTTCTGGAAGCTCCTCACAGAAGCCACCCCTGGAGCAACCTTGTTTCCAAAACCTGATCACACAAACACAATGTACTGCCCAACATGGATTACCAGGAACATGGGTCACTCTGCCCAATGGGGTTCACTGTGGATCATCCAACGGGTAACTCCAATGGGTAATGGAGTTGAAACAGCATTTGAAGCCCTTCCCACACTTGGGGCACTCACAGGAGTTCGCTTTGCATTGAATCCATTGGTGTAAGGTCAAGGTAGAGCTCTGTGTGAAGCTTTTCCCACAGTCAGGACACTCTGAGGGCTATTCCTCAGTGTGGATATTCTGGTGGGAGCTCTGGCTGAAGCTCTTCCTGCCCTTCCCACACTTGTAGACCCATTCCCTGGAGTGCAGGCGCTGGTGGCTGATGAGGTTGGAGCGGTCACTGAAGCTGCTCACACATTCCCACACCTGTAGGGCCGTTCTCCCATGTGAATTACCTGATGGCGGATCAGACAGGAGCTCTGGCTAAAGCTCTTCCCACATTCCAAGCACTTCTAGGGCCGTTCCCCTGTGTGAATCTTTTGGTGCCGGATCAGGTAGCAGCTCCATCCGAAGCTCTTCCCACATTCCAAGCACCTGTAGCGTATCTCAGTGTGAAACCACTCAAGAACCACCAGCTCAGAACTCTGGATGAAGCTTGGCTGTCTATGTCTTTCCTCCTTGGAGCACCGTGGGCTGTGTTTAGAGACCCTCTTCACAGGATACCTCTGTAGCTTTTCCTCCCCATTGTATTCCTGTGCCGTGGAGTCACTCAAAACAGCCTATTCTATGAGATTCTGGTGCAGGGATTTGTCCTCCCTGGTCTCTGTCAGTGTCTGGGGAGGGAGGGAGGGGATTTGCCTCCATGCAAGAAGGAAGGGGAAGGACATCTGTTGCTTCTCTTTTGACTGCCACTTTGCTCTCGGAGGTTCCTTGCCGCTGTCCCCCGCCCCTCCCCGGCCCCCCGGGACCCTCCGGCTAGCTGTCCCCTCCGGGGCCGGGGTTTTCCGCGGTCCCGCTGCCCTGGGCTCACCAGGCAGCGTCTGGGTTAGCACGGTCCGAGCTGCGGCGCTGCCTCAGTCGCCGCTAGGATTCGAGATAACGAAACCAAGAGAGACCAATGGTATGCTTGTCCAGATAGATTGTACTGCCTGAAGCGTTGCAGGGACCAAAGGCCCTGGGCTATTGCCCAGATACAGTTTTATACAGCAAAATTAAGAGATAAGGTCTTAAACAATAGAGACAGTGTTCAGCTAAGGCACATCAGAACCACCCCAGGGGCCAGGTCCAATGGGAACTGCTCAGGGGTGGGGAGAAGGGGGTCTACAGAGGAATGCTGAAGCGGGACTTTCCCGAAACAGTGGAGCATACATAAATGTATCTTTTACCTCAGTTTACCACTCCCAAGGCCTTTCTAAAACAATGGGGCATACATGAATGTATCCTTTTCCTCAGTTTACCATTCCCAAGGCCTTTCTAAAACAATCCTCCATGCTACCATGCCAGCATGACTGCAACAGACATCCCCCAAGTTCATCCCTGGCAGGACAGTGTTGGCACCAGGGTTGTCCTGCGGCCAGGGGCGATGCTGGGCTGGGAGATGGAGCAGAGGAGAGTCTTGCAAAATCCTTCATAAAAAACAAATACTAAGAGACACTCCCCCACTCCCCCCCTATATTTGAGGCCATCTCCCCCTCCCCAGTCACCTGGGGAAGGTGAGGGGGGATGATACTCCCAGGCTGGGGAGGGCTGTAGAAACAGGGAGTGGTGGATCCATGAACTTCCTGCTGTTCCTCCTCCCCTTCCTCCTCCTGCCTAATCCCATCTCCTTTGCATCCTATTTCAATTAGTACAATTACAATTCAATAATACAATTCTACTTCTCCATGGCCCATGGGTGTCTTTCACAGTGATGGACTGGAGCAAAGACCAAGATTTCAGAGAGAGACAATGGGGTGGAAACTCCTCAAAAAAAGTCTCTTCCACCCCCCCAGCCCAACTCCATGGATACTCACACAAAATGCCAACATGTTTTGGCCTTCATTTTCTTTTGAATGCCAACTTTTGTTTTGTCCTTAATTTTATTTTCATTCCTCTTTATCCCTTTAAAACACCTGAAAGTGGGGTAAAAATAAAGAAGTTAAAAAAAAACCCATGTAAACCCCTCCCAATTTTACTGCTATTCGGGGGAGAATTTGTAATTCAAGGGGATATTCCTGAGGATCTGGGGATTCTGTAGGGATGTGGGGAAGTCTTCTCCATTGCTGTGCATAGCAAAAGCCAAGAGGGATTGACCAATTATCTTAAAACAACACAGTCACACTGAAAACGGCTCCATGCCACTCCAAAATGTCTTGATACAAACCCCAAATGGCTTAATTCCAATTTCAAAGTATCTTGATTTGAATGGGGCCTATGGGCAAAGCTTGGGCAGACACAGGACTTCTTGATGTGGATCCTACAGTGGGAGATCAAGTCCATGCTCTGGCCAAAGCTCTTCCCACAGGAGATCAGTCTCTTGCCCTGATGAATCCTCAGGTGGGAGCTGAGGTTGGAGCTGCCACTGAAGCTCCTCCAACACTCAGGCAGGCGTGAGGTCACTCGTGGGTGGATCAGGCTGTGTAAGGACCTGAGCAGCAAAGTTGCCCATCTCAAACACTGCTAAGGTCACAGAAGGACTTTGCCATGAGATAAGCACACAACGGAGTAACAGGAAGGTGCTGACTCCAGGCCTGGCAGAGGCAAGATCTGTGTGACCCATGCTGGGAAATGCATGCTCACAAAAATTCCCACTGTGGCAAAGTGTGTAAAGAAGCAACTGCTTATATGCACATCACCGGTCAAATGAAGTTCACCCCAAGTTATGGACACACAGAGCCCTGCATGGAGGCTACTGGGCCTGCACGGGCTTTCCATGGGCTCACATCCTTTTCAGGCATCCCCCTGTTCCAGTGTGGGCTCCTCCAGGGGCTGCATGAGAATCCCTGCTCCGGCACTTGGAGCACTCCTGCCCCTCCTGCACTGCCCTGGGTGTCTGCAGAGTTGTTCCTTTCACATGCTCCTACTCTGCACAAGAACTTTATCTTTCTTGAATCCATTATCCCTGAGGTGTCACTGCGATCTCTAATAGGCTTGGTGTTGGCAACTTGTGGGTCCATTCAGGAGCTGGTGCTGGCTTTGCTGGACACAGGGAAATTTCTGACAGCTTCTCAGAAGAGCCACCCCTGTAGCCCTCTACTTCCAAAACCTGGCCACACAAACCCAGGACACCGGCCACCTGGAACATGAATCAACAGGTCTTGGCCCAGTGAGGGTCACTGTGAATCATCCAGTGTGGGTCCTCTGATGGGTGATGAAGTTGGAGCAGCAGACAAGCTCTTCCCAAAGTTGGGGCATTTGCAGGGTGTTGCAGCATGTCCACAATGAGCCTCTGTGAGCGACCTGGACTCCCAGAGCCCAGAGCAGGCTTGCTTAACCTGCTGACGAACAAGGCCAGAGATGGGTCTTTGTGTGGAACTCCAAACGCCATTTATTGTGATGAAGAGGGTCCAGGGACAGAGACAAAATGGGGCTGAGAACACAAGGTTTCATATGGGGCGAAAAGAGGTGGATGCGAGGGTCAAGGGCCAATGGGAACTGAGTACAAGTGGCACAGAGGAGGGGCAGCCAAGTGAGGAACCCATGAGATAACAGAGGCGGGGCACTGCAGTAAACTGGGACAAATAGGGGACCGGAGAGGGGAGAACATTCCAGGGGGAGTACCTATAAGGAAAAAACAGCAGTTCAACTGGGTGATACCAATAAAAGCTGTTGCATTAACATGAGCCTGCAAATGCCTGTGAGTGAGAGTGGCAAGGGCTGGTCCTGGACAGTCAGGATGGACAGAGATGAGAGATCTGAAGTCACGTCTTAGGATGACACTGTTGAGGCAGGATGGGAATGAAGAAACTGAGTCAGAAGGCTGAGACAGTGAAACTCTGATTTATTTCAAAATGCATCGCTCTTTATACAGAGCTTCATCCAGGCCAAATCCATTGGTCCTGAAGTGAAAACAACCTGCACCATTGGTGCAGAGTGCATGACGCACAGTGGTAGAACTTTATAACTATAAACAACATGAACAACAAGGAGATACAACTCTTATTTACATACTTTTCCAACAGATTCCCAGGCTTCTGCCTGATTAGAAACTCTCAGTTTCCCTCTTTGAATGAATCTGAGACCGACATTAGGATATACAGTTTATTGTGGGCAGCTGCAGCTCGGAGCAGGCCCCAAGGAGTAGGGGCAGGGCAAGATAGCGAGAGAGATTTCCAAGAGAGGGTCCAAGAGGGCAGAGGGAAGGGGAGGGAGAGAGTGCAGGAGAAGGGGCAGGAAGAGGGGCAGGAGAAGGAGCTCTGGTCTCCGGGGTACACCTTATCAAGGGGGCTTGAGAGTGGGTGCAGAATAAGACTTTGGACCAATGGGATTACAGATACATCATACTTCAGGGGAGGGTTACAGGTGGGGGATAAACTATACAATTTTGAGGGATGAGACAGAACACTTTATCTGACCCTTGGATCTGTCTGTGGCACAAAAAAGGGGGTTACCTTCTACCAGCTACACCACTGTCCACCAGTTGCTTAGCAACCAACATCCAAAATCTCAAAGCTCGTTCTCATCTCAATTTCACTCACAGTCTCTGTATTTGCCAAATCCTTTGCTAAGCAATCATATTCATAAGGCTTTCCCATTTCATCTTCCCCAACAGGTGAGACCATTTTATTCTAAGAGGCGTCTTTCTTTGATCCTGGTCACCTTTGCCCTTCCAGGGCTAAGGTATTACAGCTCCAGTGGAAGGCCCTTGAGCCTCCACAGCAGGGCTTCCCTTACAAGTGGGACTGTTGATGTCGGGTTAAGCCAGTGCTGGAGGAGAAGCTCTTCCCACACTCGGGACATTCATAGGGCCTCTCCCCAGTGTGGATGCGCCGGTGCAGGGTCAGGTGGAAGTTGCGTTTGAAGCCCTTCCTGCAGTCAGGGCAGCGGAAGGGCCTCTCATCCGTGTGAATCCGTTGATGAAGGAGGAGATGGGAGCTGGTCCGAAACCTCTTCCCACACTCAGGACACTCGTAGGGGCGTTCTCCACTGTGGATCTTCTGGTGCTGGATCAGGCCAGAGCTGATGCTGAAACTCTTCCCACACTCCCCACACTCAAAGGGTCGTTCCCTGGCGTGCAGGCGCTGGTGGGTGAGGAGGTTGGAGCGGTCACTGAAGCTTTTCCCACATTCCTTGCACTTGTAGGGCCGTTCCCCCGTGTGAATTACCTGATGGCGGATCAGACAGGAGCTCCGGCTAAAGCTCTTCCCACATTCCAAGCACTCATAGGGGCGTTCCCCTGTGTGGATCATCCGGTGGCGAAGGAGGTGGAAGCTCCGGCTAAAGCTCTTCCCACATTCCAAGCACTTGTGGGACTTCTCCACATCCTTAGGCTTCTTCACCAGCTCTGAGTTAGAGCTGAAGCTCTGGCCACCTTCCTGGCACAGGGTGTCTCTTTCCTCCTTGAAGCACCCTGGGCTGGGTTTGCAGCCCCTCCTCGTGCGGGATCTCTGGGGCTTCTCTTCCCCATCGGATTCCTGTGCTGTGGAAGCGCTCAAAACAGCTTCTTCTGCAATGTTCTCCCAGGAGGATTTCTCCTCCTTAATCTCTGCCTCCAGCTCATTGCCTGGGGGAGGAAGGACAAGGAGAGAATGGGATTTGCCTCCGTGCCAGAAGGAAAGGGAAGGAGATCCCCCTAGTCTGTCCCCAGCAGGACAGCACTGGCAGCAGGGTTGTCCTGCAGCCGGGGGCCGTGCTGGGCTGGGAGATGGAGCAGGAGAGAGGGGGAAAGGGGCACTGACTTCCTCCTCACCTGCCTGGCTGTTCCAGAGCATCTTTCCCTTCCTTGCAGCCTCCTCCTCCATTCAGCCAAGCTTTAAGAATGACAAATCCTGGGTTTGGGGGAAAGCAACATGTGAGTGTGATGAATTCAAGGTTCCTCCTGCCCAAGTCCATTTCTAGAAATCACCAGGCATCTTGTGTCCGTGAAAACCTCCAAAACACCATGAAGCAGAATAAAAACCTTTCCAAAATATTAAGATTCAGCAAAGGAGCCCTCCAAGATTCCCCCCTCTCTAGTCTCTCCCTTTTAAGGTCCTGGAGGTCTTCCCTCTCCTGGGTCCCGCTTAGGGTTGCTGGAAGTTTTAGAGGTCCTAGGGGTCCCTTCTCCTCTCAGTCTCTGTTTCGACTGCTGGGGGTCCCAGGGTTCCCACTCTTCAGGCTCGCCTAACTCCAGATTGCCGGGGACGTCTCCCCTCCCAGTCTCCCCGTTTCAGGGTCGAGGGGATCCTGCCCTCCCCGTTAACTCTGTGCTTCCTCCTTTCCAGTCCGCCGGGGGTATTCCAAACTGGTATTGCCCCTGTCTGGTCCCCCACGCCAGGGGCAGCCAGAACTGATGTCCCCTTAAGCCCGTCGGGCGATCTCCGTGCGGCGTGCGGGATCTCGCATCCTCCCCGCGGTATCCCGGGCTCTGCCGACAGGCACGGCCGGGATCCCCCCGAAGAAAACACCTCCCGGGGACGCCCAAGGGATCTGGGGCAAGTTCTCCCTGCCCAGTCACCTGTGGGATGCGGCGGGGCAGATGCTCCACGGGCCGGCAGGGCTGCGGACACAGGGCGGACACGCGAATTTCCTCTTCTTCCACTTTCTTCTACTTTTCTTCTCCTTTGCGGAACATCAGACGGCTGCAGAAGCTGGCCTCCTGGCCCCGGTACAGCGGAAGCCGGGCGACAGATAAACTCAAGGCAGGAACAAAAATGAAGGCCGCTCTCCCTCCTCGCCTTCCTGCCTCTCCTCCTTTTCCTGCGCCTCCTCTTCCTCTTCCCTCCCGCTGCCGGCAGCTCCGCCCGGTGCCGCCCCATCCGCCCGGCGAGGAGCGGGGGGACCCCGGACGGAGCAGGCGGGCCAGCCCCGAGCCGAGATGGGGGCAGCTGGGATTTGGGGGGACGGTGGGAAAGGAATGGGAGAGGGAAGATGACGGGAGGTGGCACAGCGGGTGAGTGCTTCCCAAAGGGGGTCCCTTCGTGTCTCCCTTGTGTGTTCCCTGGAGAGCTTCCCTGCAGCTCTGGGGGAGGCGGATCCTCGCTGGAGGGCTCCTGAGGGGCTCCCCCCAGCCAGCAGCCGGTGCTGCGGTGGCCGTGGAGTGGAGGGGAGTGGGAAAAGGGGGTCCGGCGTGGCCCCCTGAGCTTCCAGCTGGCTGTGGGGTGCTGGTAGGGTGCATGCCATGACCTGTGTCCCTGCCCACAGAGGGGTGTTCCAGCAGACAGGAAAGGCCAAGTTGCCACTTCCAGAATGGCATTCCGAAGTGGAGTTGGACAGGAACAGCTTGTGCACTCCGTTGGGAACCCGCTCTGCATCATCCTCTGGTGATTCTCTACCTCTCACCCAGCTCCAGGCTCTGGAAATTCTCTTCTGTCTGCATTCATCACTCACCAGCACCGGCACACAGGGAAATAGCCTTGCAAGTGTGAGGAATGTGGGAAGAGGGTTCAGATCATCTCAGATCTCATGAAACATCAGTGGACACTCTCGGGAAAATATCTTCTCAGCCTTGACAAACAGCCCTTGGCTCAATTCCTCTTGAGTTTATCACCAACATCATCTGTTCTAGGAACTGGTGCTGTACAATGAGCTCCAACAGCCTTGGAAACTTTTTTTTTTCTGAATAACATCCCAAATGGGATCATATTTTAGTTCTCAACCTTTTCCAGAAAGTCACCAACCTGAGCTGCGGCTAGGATGGAAAATGTCTGTGACTAAAGCCCATCCCATATGAACAGCAGCCCTGAGTGAAACCCTTGGGCTCCTGGGCAGCAGCAGCTTCAACAGCAGCCAGGAACTCTCCCTTTTGCTGCCCTCAGGCTATCCCCGAATGGTCCTGGGCTGAGCCCCCCCACTCCTCGAGGCTCTGCCCTGCACCTGGTGGGGAGATGCAAAGGCATCTGAAGGGAGAATTCCATGGGAATTTCCCACAGCGACCCCGTACAGACTCCTCCTGTCCATGTGTGTGTGACACTGAATATGCCATAGAAATGTCCTGAGAATGCTGCTCTCCTGGAGTAGGAAGTACGTAAGATTTGTAAGTCAGTCGGGCCTGTGGGTGTGTTCCTGTTGTGGTGTAATAAATTCTATGTGAAGTTACTGATTAAGTTTCAGTTAAGTACTGTTAAGTTTAAGTTAAGTGCTATTGGGCCTTTAAGCATAAACTGTTCAAATCCAGGTTCAGTTCTGTACAGGGGTCTACTCTGACCCTTGTGACTCAACACTGGCGTCTTGCATATTCCTTTTTATCCTTACCCTTTTCTGGGTTTTTTTCCCCCCTCCCTACTCCCTCCCCCAGAAATTCTTGAGCTACATAAATAGTTTAGGGCTTATTTCAGTTTGGATTTATTGATTTTGGATTTTTGTTTCCTTTATCTTGGTGTGCTTTAACCAAGTAATCCCCTCCTCCTCTATCCCTCCTTCTCCTCCTCCTCCTCCTCCATCCCTTCTCTTCTCCCCAGGACCAGCACCCACCCTTGTTCTCCTGTGTCTCCCATGCATCCTACTGGAGGTGGAGGGATGGAGCTGGGGCAGGTCCGACTGGGGCAGCGCTGGGCTCTGAGCTGCTCCTGCCCACACTCGGCCCCCACCACAGCTGCCACTGCCAGGACAGCATAGGGGGCCCAGGCTGGATGGCCTCTGTCTTCTCCCTCCCCAAATTCCCCTCCTGGGGGGCACTGAAGGTGAAGGGTTGCAGGTGGGGTCCACATGGGGAATGTTGGGCACTGAGGGTCTGCCTGGCAACTGGTGAGTCGTCAGCCAAAGCCCTGCAGAACTGGGGAGATCCCGCAACCCCTTCAGGAATGGGGTATCCCCTGGCCTCATCATCCCAAACCTTCAGCTGTCTCGTTTCAGACCCCATCCCACCCCTCCCAATTCACATCCCACTTCTCCCAAATCCCATCTCACCCCTCCCAATCCCTATCCCATCTGCCCCAGTCCATATCCCACCTCTCTCGATTCACATCCCACCCCTCCCTCCCTTCCTTCCCCTCCAGGGTTTGGAGCGCTGTGGGATTGAATACTTTTGGGGTGGTATTTAGTCATTTTGAGGTGGGATTGAGACATTTTGGGCTTGGATGGAGACACTTTCAGTGGCCACCTTCCTTGAGTGGTTTTGAAGTGATGGATAGAACCCCTCACCTTTTGGGGTGCAAAATAATGGAGGAAACTACTCCAAATTCCCTCAAAAACCCCAAATCCTCCTGAATATCTCCCAGACTACAAATTCCTCCCCAGTCCCTGTAAAATGGTGAGGTTTTGCACATCTTTAATGAAGTTCTTCATTTTTACCCAATTTTGGGTGTTTTTAAAAGATGGATCACAAGCAAATAAAGGCCAAAATCAAGGAATTTATGTGTCAGCATTGTTTGAGTATCCATGGAGCTGGGTTGGGTTGGACTGAGTTGGGTGGATGAAAGAGCCTTTCTTGGAGGTGTCCTAGGGTGATGTTATGGTGCTTGTATCCCCAGTCGTGTGTTCTGTTTGTGCTTGATGTTATGTTCTGTGCCTTCAGGACTGGCTCCGAAAAGCGAAAGTTTGTTTTGTCTTGTTATCAGCCAGCTCACCTCCCCCCATGGTCTGTGTCTAGGAGAGAGGATAGGGCTTGATTGCTTGCTTTTGCTTTGCTCTCGCTACTGCTTCTTGCTTTTGCTTATTACTTAGTTTAGCTAGGCAGTTCACTTTCTTTCCCTGGACTGTTTGTCTTTCCCTTTCCTGAATACCATCCAACCTGCTCCAGGCTGGGACCTGGGAAACACCAAGAAACACTGAGAGCCTGCGCTCTGTGATCTGCAGCAGCCATCCCCAGTGCCCAGAGCAATCCCCAGCGCCAGAGACCAAGAACTGGGCGACCACTCCCAGGAGAGACTTTCTGAATTTGTCATCTCTTCAGAGTGGTGAAAGAATTTTTGTCATCTGGTGTTGTTGTTTTTGTGCCGGGGAGTGTTTCTGTCTGTTAAATCAACAGGTTTTTTTCCACGTCTCTCCAAGGAAATTCTTCCTGAACCAGGTGCATGGGAGGGGCTGTGGAGGTTTGCTGTCTGGGGGCGCTCCTCCTGGAGGTTTTCTCCCAAATTTGCCCAAAACCAGGACAGGAGGGATTCCCACAAAATTGTCTCCAAAATCTTGGTCTCTACCAGTTCTGGATTACCACATCTGTGACCTACTTGAATCACCAGGTTGATTCAAGTCCCAGCATGGTCACCATAGATAACACAATGTGTGTCCTCTAATGGGTGAAGTTGGAGCAGTGAACACAGCTCTTCGTGCAGCCAGGGCACTCACAGGACTTCCCTTACCTGTGGGGCTGTTGGTGTTGGGTCAAGGCAGAGCTGCAGATGATTTATTAAAAAAATATGGATATTGATCTAGTACCCATATCCAGCTGTGATGGACAAATCTCTAACAGTTTAAAGTTAGAAAATGTGTGTTTATTCGACGTCAGGTAGTGTGCAGGATAGCTCCCAAATACACACCGCACTTTTCAGGTGATTACAGAGTTCTTTTATCCATACAAGTATTGAATACACAAAATATTCATCATTTTGGTACATCCCATTCCTCGCTTCGTATGCTAATAATTTCAAAAGCTATTAAGCATGTGTAGTTTTTTCCTTGAAATGGGTCAGTGGTCCCTTTCATGGGGAGGATTCCCAAAATGAGGAAGTAAATGAAGTCTTCCTCATTCTGACCTTTCCACCTTTTCAATGCAAATATGACAAATCAACTCTTGGTAGAACTCCCATTCCTTGTCTTCAATTGGTTTCAGAACAGAGGAGGCCCACAATTGTCTTATGTTCCTAAAAGCTATTTGTCAGTTTGTATATTCTTCATTATAAACCCAGCTAACTAAACATTGTGCTGACAAGCAATCAATTGTTAGTTAACTACTAACTCCTTACTTCATCAAGGCCTACTCATTTATTTTAATTAACTCTAGTAAGGCTTATCTCTAACTAAAATCTTAGCGCCTCTAAAATCTTTAAATTCCTTAAAATTTACATTTCACAGGAGGAGCTCCTTCCACACTTGGGGCGCTCTTAGAGCCTCCTTCTGGTGTGGATGTTCTGGTGGCAGATCAGGTTGGAACAGTCACTAAACCTCTTTCCACATTTCCTGCACATGTGGGGCTATTCCCCAGTGTGGATGCTCTGGTGGCAGACCAGGCAGGTGCTTCACCTGAAGCTCTTCCTGCATTCCAAGTACATGGAGGACTGTTCCCTAGCATGGATCTCTGGCAGTAGATCAGATGGAAGCAGGGGCTGAAGCTCTTTCTGCATTCCAAGCACAGGTAGGGCTGTTGCCTAATGTGGATCTTCTGGTGGCACATCAGGCTAAAACTCTGGATAAAGCTCTTCCCACATTCCAGACACTTTTAGGGCCATTTCCCCATGTGCACCCACTGGTGGATGAGGAGGTTGGAGCTGTTGCTGAAGCTCTTCCCACATTCCAAGAAGCACTTGTAGGGTTTCTCCCCATCATGACACTGCTGGTCAACCACCAAGTCAGAGCTCAGCTGCCTTCCCAACACGGGGCAGGTCTTTCCTCCTCAGAGCACCATGGGCTGGGTTTGCAGGCCCTTCTTGTGGAAGGATCTCCATGGCTTTTCCTCCCTTTTGACTTCACATACCATGGAGCCCCTAAAACCAGCCATTTTCATAAGGTTCTGCTATGGGGATTTGTTCTCCCTGGTCTCCGTCCACAGCTCAGTGCTGAGGGGGAGGAAGAAACTAGTAGAAGGAAGAAGAAAAAGGACGAGAGAGAAGGAAGAAGACCAGGAAGGAAATTTGCCTCTGTGAAAAATGCATATTTTATGATTGGCTTTTTGCAAATATTAAATTGAATACTATATGTATGATGTTATTTTGATTAGAAGTGCTGTATTAACATTTTAATAGTACGGTAAATGTAGTTTTGTAGTTAAAATGCAGCTTTAGTAGTTAAAATAGAAATTGTCCAAGATTGAGAGGCAAGATGTTTTCTAGTACCATCTGCGTAGCAGTTGCCCTCTGGGCAGTTTTCCTTATCTCCTGGTAATGGGCCCATCAATATCTCCCACATGACTCAGAGATAATTCCATCCAGAAGCCATTTCTGTTTTACAGGTGATCAAGGACACACCCCTGACTCAGAATGACATCAGCCCACGGTGAGATGCTCCACCCAGGGGGGAGGAGCTAAGCATGCCCACCTAGATCTATCCTGGGATTTCTGAACAGAGAGGCAGCCTTTCCACAGGTTTCCAAGAGGACACAGCTGGGGTTTCCACTCGACTGACTACACCTTTTCTACGGGACCACTGCTCCAACAGAACCACATCTGCCACTCCAGGAGGACTGCAGCCACTCCAGTTTGGACTGCTACCAGCACGCTGGCCAAAGGGGTGTCAGGTTGTATTCTGACTTTGTCAGTGGTCTTCCTTTTGTATCATTGCATGTATTTTGTCTCTTTTCCCTTTTCCCCAATAAATTGTAATTCTGACTTAGAGTCTCTCACTGGTTTTAAAGAACAAAACTATGTATGTGGTTTTTTTTTTCGCAAGGAATGAGATATTAGCTTTGAGATAACAGTCACAGAACACCTCAATCTTCCAGAGAAGAGGAATTTATGACTCTTTTATCAGAAGAAGCTAATTTCTTCAGGCCTTGCTCAGACTCAAAGATGCCGTGGGAATTAAAATAAATAGTTGACATATAGCAGACAGAGGTTCTTGTTTTAAATTGAATGTATGCATAACCATGAAGTATGTATGAATATGCAACAGTGTGTGGTTTTTAAGGGTTATTCCTTTGTTCACAAGGTATGCTTTTCGTGACTTAGTGTCCAAGAGCATCCGGACACTAAGCATCTATAATTCTTTGCTTTTTATTTTCTCGTAATTGTCCTAACTCTAAATTTTATTACTCTAAATTGTATTACTATTTTTTTATTATTAAACTTACAAAATTTTAAGAAACCAAGTGATTGCTGTTTTTCACACCGTACCAGAAAAAGGAAGGAGAAGGAAGAAGATCCCCTTAGTCTGTGCCTGGCAGGATGGCATTGGCAGTGGGGTTGTCCTGCAGCCTGGGGCCATGCTGGGCTAGGAGATGGGGCAGGAGAGAGGGGGAAAGGGCCTTCAAACCCAGCCCAGGGTGCTCTGAGTAGGAAAGACTGTGCCAGGAAGGTGGCCAGAGCTTCATCCAGAGCTCTGACCTGAGCGTCCAGCAGCAGCTTCATGTAGAGAGAAGTCTACAAGGGCTTGGAATGTGGGAAGAGCTTTAGCACAAGCTGCCACCTCATCTATCACCAGAGCTTGTACACTCGGGAACGGCCCTACACATGTGGGGGATGTGGGAAGACCTTCAGTGATGTCTCCACTTTCACCTCCCACCAGCAGGTGCACACTGGGGAATGTCCCTACAAGTGTGGGCAATATGGGAAGACTTTCAGCCAGAGCTCCAACCTCCTCACCCACCAGTGCCTGCATAGGGGAATGGCCCTTCAAGTGCCCTGACTGCGGAAAGAACTTTGTCTGCAGTCTGACCTGGTCATCCACTGGGGCCTCCACAGAGGGAGAAGCCTTATGAGTGTCTTCAGTGTGGGAAGAGGTTTTGAAACAGCTCAGTTCTCATCAGACATCAGCAGACACACATGGAGGAGAGACCTTAGGAGTGTCTATGACTGACTATGGCAAGAGGTTTTGGAATAGCTCACATCTCATCAGGCATCAGAGAACACACACCAGGGAGAGGCCCTATGAGTCTCCTGAATTTAGGAAAAGATTCAGCCAGAGCTTTCCCTTGACAAGTCACCAACAGACCCACCGAAAGGGAAGCCCTACAAATGCCATGACTGCAGGAAGAGCTTGAGTTGAAACTCCAAGTTCATCACCCACCAGCACCTGCACACTGGGAAGAAGCCATACAAGTCCTTGGAATGTAGGAAGAGCTTCAGCTGGAGTTCCAGCCTTATCACCCACCAACATCTGCACACTTGGGAACAGCCCTACAGCTGTGAGGAATGTAGGAAGAGCTTTAGATGGAGCTCCTGCCTGATTCAGTACCAGAGGATCCACACAATAGAACTGCCCTACCAGTGTGAAGAATGTGGGAAGAGTCTCATGGATGTCTCCAGCCTCATCACCCACCAGTGCCTGCACATTGGGAAATGGCCCTACCAGTGTCAGAAATGTGGGAAAAGCCTTAGCACCACCTACTACCCGATCCACCATCAGAAGATCCACACTGGGGAACAGCCTCATGAGTGTCCCGAGTGTGGGAAGAGGTTTCAGAATAGCTCAAATCTCAAGGCACCAGGGGATGCACATAGAGTAGAGGCCCTTCTGCTGTACCAGCTGTAGGAAGAGCTTC